TGTGGATCTGCTGTCTCTCTCTCTGCCCGAGCAGACCTGAGCCACTCGGACTAGCTTTTAGATGGGTACTGAGGATTTATATTCAGGTCTCTGTGCTTATTCCTGCTAGTGTGGGTCAGTCAGAAGGCCCATGACCAGATATTGCTATGTCCTGTTGCTCCAAAGCGGGCCGTTTACTCACCCTCCAGAGTCCCCAGGCTGGACCCAGCCTGCTCGCTCACTAGCTCCTTCAGCTGCCTTTGCCATTTCCCAGGGCTTACCTGCTCCTCTCCCTGCTTCCAAGTCCAGTTAGCTCCCAACAGCACACACAGGACGGAGACGCCCATGAGCACTTCCATACCAAAGCAATCCCTGCAACGCACAATGTTCTTCACAAGACTAACTGCCCTGCTTGGCACCAGACACTTCCTTCCTTAGGACAACTCCCGTCTATGATGTAGGTCAGCTGCCTGTGTCCCCAGCTTAGGGGGCCCAGGCTTTTTTTCAGGTGGTTGCGTTTATACCTGTGACTCCCGTCCCTGAAGCCTGGAGCTTGGTTTGCTCCCCCGACAAGGCTGGCCTGCTCTCCCTGCTCTACAGCCGAGGAAGGTCCTCGAGCTTCATGAGGAAGCCTGAGCTACTCCCTTCCCCTCCCTCTTCTCCTCTTCATCCCAAGACCAGTCTCTAGAGTCAGGTTCTACCGCATGTCAGCTCACTGAAGACATACCACACTTAAGTTGTTTGCCTGTAAGAGGAATTTAGCAACCAGTTGGCATTGATTCAACAAACAGCTGCTTTTTATTAAAGAGTATAAAAATTGCCAGACTAAATCATTCAAGTTCAGATTTAAGATGTTTCAAAGGTAAGAGTGCTTGCTCGCTGGCCTTCCGTATCTAAGGGGCCCGTTCTTGACAGATTTAAGATGTTTCAAAGGTAAGAGTGCTTGCTCGCTGGCCTTCCGTATCTAAGGGGCCCGTTCTTGAAGATCCTTAAATAAATGGGAGTGGAAAGTCAGCTTCAGTCAGAGACTCTGTTGACTTTCTGGTTCTCTCGACTCTGTTCCCTGAGTGCTAGATTGTAAGTGAGCACTGCTGTGTCCAGTTTTATATGAGGCAGGGCCTCATGCTAGGCAAGCACTCTACCAACTGAGCAGCACCCCAGCGTCTACACCCCAGCATCTACGCACTGTTCTGTTTATTTTGAGACATGGTCTCATGTACTGCAGACAGTCTTTGAACTCCTACTTGTTAGAAGATGACCTTGAACTCCTGCTCCGTCTCCCTCCGTCTCCCAAGGGCTGGGATTGTAGCATTTGCCATTACACCAGGCACCAAAAGACCACCTTCCATTTTCATAAATAAATAAATAAATAAATAAGATGTCTTTGATATTATAACAGGCCCCCCCAGACGTTGACACAACTGACTCCATGATGGAAGGACCATTCAGGCTGTAAAACTCAGCTCATAGGCAGTACTACCAACAAAAATGAAAACCAGATCTAATCCGTCAAAGTCCATAGTTCTGGGAAAGTCTCGAAATGTACTAATCTTGCTTTTTGGCTTTTGCAGTTCCACTCTGACTCTACCTGTTCTTGTTAACTGAAGAATGTCAGCCCAGGACATGGTTTTTTGTGCTTAAAAGGTCACCCTGAGAAAGGCTCAGGGCTATACTGGGATCGCAGACACCCAGCGTAGTTGCCAGCCAGCTAATAGAAAAGACTTTCTATTGGCTTAAACCCATGTCTGAGCAGTCTTCTCTAATGGATACCCCACAAGAGTATGCTCTGCTCTCTTTTCTTTACTGATCTCTCCTCAACACCACACAAGCACACACACACACACACACCCCATACCACACCACACACACACACCACACTCACACATATATACATCACACTCATACACAGACACCACATATACACACTCACACACATACACTGTCTGCCGAGTCTGCACCGCCACAGGGCATAGCTGCTTGGGGAGGCAGAACAAGGGGAGTTTGGACTGTGCCACCGCAGGGGCAGGTGCTGGGCTCTAGGGAATGGCTGAGGCACCGCTCTGGGGGTAGGGAAAGCACAGTCAGAGACATGGGAAAGCCGGAGCTGGGGCAGTGGGGTTCTCAGACTCTTGGAGATCTGCCCACTGGTGGGAGTCGTGGAAGAACAAAGAATGGTGTCAGGGCCCGCAGGCTGGGGACAGTGTCTAGCCCGGGGCTGGGGGAAAGGGGCACTCAGGCTTGTGATTGTCCTTAGCTTGGCTGAGGCAGGCTTGGTGGCAGTTGTGGCTGGGAGGGCAGAGGCCTTCTACGGGAGATTAGGCTGCGGCCCAGTAGGCGGAGGCCTTCTTCATGGCTCCCCATGGTGGATCTTGATGAAAAGAGACAGTCCATGGTTCTAAACAGTTTATTGTCATGGCGGAAAATGGATGTATAAAGCCATACCGCACTTCTCAGGGTGGGGCTGAGGTTAAACACCTTTTGGAGAGGAATGTCTGGGAAGGGAAGCTGATTGGCTAAGCCCTCAGGGCCTCTAGGTACCTCATTAGCATGGAGAACTCTGTTTTGAGCCTGTGTGACCATAGGACACGTTTCTTTTATGTGAGAAGCATGGCACGTGTTCCAAGTCAGGAGTCTGGTAGGTCTGGCAGTCACCTCAGCCTCAGGGGTGTGCCCGCCTCTGGGTCTCAACCTGCTCCACCTTACCAAACTTCCTGTCGTGGTTTTACATCTCACAATAGAGCACATATGCACACACACCCCACACACGTGTGCCACACACACACACACACACATCATATCATACACACTCACCCCAAAACCAAAACCTCAAACTTTCTGTAGGACCAAAGCCCACAGCTTCTGACTGCACACCCGCCTCCTTTATTTGAAGTCTCTGTTGGCAGCACAAACAGACATTACACTGACTCTCCACTTCCGCCATTTTCTCAGCAACCCAAAGTGCTTCTTACACTGAACGTGTGCGAAGGTGGAACCTAGGTAGTTGTCAAAAATGCTTAGAGATCACCTATAGAAATAGCATATATATATATATATATGTGTGTGTGTGTGTATGTATGTGTATATGTATATGATATATATGTATGTGTGTATACATATACGTATATGCATATGATGTATATGTGTATGATATATATGTATATTATATGATTTATATTATATGTATATAAACTGAAACTCAAAGCAGAAGGACTTGCAAGGTCGTAGCATTTTATAGGTAAGGAGGTCTTTTGACTTCTACAAAAATAGTTAATTTTTTCTGAGGGCAGATGTAGTGGCAAGTTTTATGACGACTTGAGACAAGCTAGAGTCATCAGAGAGGAGGGAGCCTCAGTTGAGAAAATGTCCTGTAGGCAAGCCTGTAGGACATTTTCTAAAATTAGTGATAAACGTGAGAGGGCCCGTTGTGGGTGGAGCCATCCCTGGGCTGGTGGCCCTGGGTTCTATAAGACAGCAGCCTAAGCAAGCCATGGGGAGCAAGCCCATAAGCAGCACCCCTCCATGGCCTCTGCAGCAGCTCCTGCCTCCAGGTCCCTGCCCTGCAGGGGTTCCTGTCCTCACTGCTTTTGATGATGGAACTGTGAGCGAAATGAACCCTTTCCTTCCCCAAGTTGCTTTTGCTTATGGTGCTTCATCACAGTAAGATCCCTGACTAAGCTAGCAGATTCTAAAATTAGTGATTTCAAGGGGTGAGGAGGACCCATGTCTGAGAGCCTGACACTTGCTGAGATTGACTTAGCTAGGCCTCTTGAACCCCTGGTGGTGGTCACTCATTCGGTAATAATGTGTTGATCTCCGCCAACACACCAGGAGCTGCATCCACGCTGGGGAACAGCTGTGTCATAGTTAGGCTTGTGGTTGTTTTCTATGAACAGACACCATGACCACAGCAACTCTCATAAATGAAAACATTTAATTGGGGCTGGCTTAAAGAGGTTCAGTCTATTATCATTATGGTGGGAAGCATGGCAGCATGCAGGCAGGCATGGTGTCAGAGAGATAGCTGAGAGTTCTGTATTAAGATCTGCAGGCAGCAGGAAGAGAGAGTGACACTAGGCCTGGCTTGAGTTTCTGGAACCTCAAAGCCTGCTCCCCAGTGACATACTTCCTCCAACAAAGCCACACCTTCAATAATGCCACTCTTAGGAGTCTATGGGGACCATTTTCATTCAAACTATCATTTTAGAATGACCCCCTCTGTATATTGCCTGTGTTCAGTGCCTCGAGCCCTCCCAGGGCTCCAGGGTATGGTTGAAGGGACTCCCGGAGCAGAGGACAACAGAACAGTCCTCAGGTTAGCTTAGGTTGTGGTCTGATGTACTCCACCTTGCAGGAAAAAATAAAAAGATTTGTTTTTATTTTAAGAGTGATTTATGAGTTCTGGGGGTGTGGTGGTACAAATCTTTAATGCAAACACTTGGGAGGAAGAGGCAGATAGATCTCTATGAGTTCCAAGCCTTCCTGGTCTAAATCAGTAGTTCCAGGCCAGCCAGGGATCCACAGTGAGACCCTGTCTCACAAAAAAACAAAACAAGATTTATGAGGAGTGTAAGTGGATTTCCTAACGTGACAAGGATTCTGTTCCTCAGAATGGATGACTCCACCAAGTCCCTGTTAGCACAGAACAAGTCGGGCTGCTCTGCAGGAAATATAAAAGAATAAAAGCATGGAAATTACTCACAATTTTACCACCAATAAATCATCACTAACAACATTTCTTCCACATTTTGTAAATCATTTCTTTTCTTCAAAATAGAATTCTATTCCATATCTTACTTTCTCACCTGCAATTTTCTCAGCAAATGTGTATTATGAATCTCTTTTCCTATTGTTCTATGCTCTATGACATCCATTTTTTAAAAATAGGATAATATCTTTTATTTATTCTTTGACAATTTCCTACGTGTAAACAGTGCATCTTGAGCAGTGGGACTCACCCTCCCAACTCTCCCAGAACCCTCCACACCCCACCATTCCCCAGGAATTTCCTAACTCGTGCCACATTCTTTCATGTCCTCTTTGTTTCTGTTACTAGCCCACCGAGCCCACTGCGTGCTGCCTGTTGGGATGCTGGCTGAGCTTGTGCAGGTACCCACAGTGGCAGCGCCCATGACAGGTCCCAATGCCAGCACTCTGCCTAGTCTCCCTTAGCATTCCTTCAGCCCCCTCTTCTGTAGCTGGTCTTTGCTGCTTTGTGGGTTCTTCTTTTCCACAACCCCAGTTTCACACCCTTACACTAGATAGGAGAAAAACAAGGGTAGAGGGGAGAGAAGAATTAGGAAAATCCTTGAATTTTTGTTTCTTCTTTGACAAGGCTACTAACCTCCTTAAAGGAACACTCCCCTCCCCACCACCCACCCGACTCCCTCTCTGGGGCCCTAGCATTTATAACGCCTCTGAAAAGTTTCCAGAATTCCAAACATAACATAGTTGCAGAAATCAATCTGCATCTGGCTAAAACATCCTTCTGCTGGATCATGAGGCAAATCATGGCCAACTGCTGTGGACAGCCCGAAGCAGCCCCATATCCCTGCACCCCTCCTCACCTCCTCCTCCTTCTTTGTGAGCTGTCTTCTTTAAATCTTCCTCCATGGGCATGGTGGTGCAAACCTTTAATCTCGACACCTAGGAGGCAGTAGCAGGTGGCTCTCTGAGTTCAAGGTCAGTTTGGTCTATGGAATGAGTCCCAGGACAGCCAGAGCTACATAGGAAGATCCTGTCTCAAGAAGAGAAAACAAAACTTTCTCAAGTTGTCATATGGATATCTCCATTCATCAGGTCTTATGCTACTGGGAAAATGTGCTTTTCCTTTTGCAGTACTGGGAATCAATCTCCAGACCCGGCACATGCTCAGTACATATGCTACCACTGAGCCACACCTCCAGCCCGAAAGAGTGCCTTTTGTCTCTTGTTAATCCCAACCACAGCCACAGTAAGCCATAAGTCCTTCAACCTAAAGTGCTGATCTATCAAGCCTGGTGGAGAGAGCGGCTCTTAGGGCTGTAGAACGTTAGACCCATATGGGCTCACAAAGACAGCATAGTGCCCGGTCTCATCTCCAGTCTAAAGCAAGGCAGAGATTTGGCCAAGGTCATTGGGTTCCTAGAGGGCTGGAATGAGAGGCAGTGCCAGGAAGCTGTGTGATAGACCAATTAACTACTGTGTCTTAGAAGCAAATGCCTGGGCAAAGCTGTCCATCACTTCTGAGCCCTTGGGCAATTTGCCTGACATCCTCAAGGCTCATTTTTTTCTGGTCTGTGGAGTGGGACCAATACTTATTTTCCAAGATTGCTGGATGTTTTAGTTAGGGTTTTACTGCTGTGAACAGACACCATGAGCAAGGCAAGTCTTATAAAGGACAACATTTAATTGGGGCTGGCTTTCAGAGGTTCAGTCCAGTATTATCAAGGCAGGAGCATGGCAGCATCCAGGCAGGCATGGGACCGAGGAGCTGAGAGATCCACCTCTTGTTCCAAAGGCAGCTAGGAGAAGTCTCTGGCCTCCAGGCAGCTAGGAAGGGTGTCTTAAAGCCCACACTCACAGTGACTCACTTCCTCCAACAAGGCTACACCTCCAAATAGTGCCACTCCCTGGGCCAAGCATATCAAACCACCACACCAGGGAAAGGTTGCTCTTGGAATGGGTGATGTCTTCACCAGCAGCTAACAGAATGATAGGGGTGACCCCAAAAAGGGAACCATACTCCCTTCATTACCTTTTACTACCCACCAATCGAGTGATATTTGTACAGATTATGCTGCCTGTGCTCTGAGAGAGCAATGTGACCATAGCTCAGAAAAGAGCAAGAGGGCGGTGGCAGAGAGATGGCTCAGTGGTTAAGAGTATATGCGCTGTTCTTTCAAAGGTCCTGAGTTCAATTCTCAGCACCCACATAGCCACTCACACTTATTTGATGCTGTCTACTGGTGTACAGATATACATGCAGACAAAGTACCCATATATAAATAAACAAATCTTCTTTAAAAAGAGCAAGGTGGAATGCCCTAAGCAGTGTGTGTGTGTGTGTGTGTGTGTGTGTGTGTGTTGGCACATATGCGTGAAGGCCAGAGCAGAGGTTGATGTCAGGCATCCTCTTTGATCCTTCTACTTTATTTACAAGGGCAGAGTCTCACAGCGAGCCTGGAACTCTCTGACTCACCTCATCCAGTTAGCCAGCTTGTGCCAGGATCTTGTCTCTGCTTCCTGGTCATGATGGGATTGCAGACAGACCACAGGACACCTGCCTGGCGTTTCTGTGAGGGTTTGGGGTCTGAACTCTGATACTTATGCAGCATGCATGCACTTTATCCATGGAGCCATCGCCCCAGCCCAGTCTGAGCGTTTTGATGGTCATCCAGCGATGATACTCAAGGTTAGAGCTATGACAGAGGAGGAGGGAGAGGAGGAGGAAGAGGAGGAAGAGGAGAAAGAGGAGGAGGAGGAGGAAGAGGAAGAAGAGGAGGAGGAGGAGGAAGAGGAAGAAAAGGAACAGGAAGAGGAGGAGGAGGGGCAGGAGGAGGAGGGGCAGGAGGAAGAGGGGCAGGAGGAGGAGGAGGAGGGGCAGGAGGAGGAGGGGCAGGAGGAAGAGGGGCAGGAGGAGGAGGAGGAGGGACAGGAGGGGCAGGAGG